CCCCGCCAGCCACGCCCCCGCCAGCCACGGCCCCGCCAGCCACGCTGTCTGGCAGAGACCCAAGGTCTAGACCGCGAGCTCCCGGAGCCGGCCTGTCCTCTCGCCCCGGGCGCCCTCGGAGAGCGGAGTAGCAGGCGCGGGGCGAAGGGGCTCCACCACGGAAGCCACTGAACACACACCGGGACACCAAGAGCCTGCTTCAAATCGGGCTGCATGTAGACAGCTAAAGAACAAGCAGAGATCTACTGCAGCCGAAAGAACGGTTACTGGGAGATGGAGCACAAGAAAGTTGAAGCAAAACAGTACTGCCGGAAAGAAATCTTAAGAGGCTGAGTGAAATCTGAATCATGTTTCAAGTTATTGAAAATAAGGCTATTTTTTTCAAGGTATGCAGAATAGTGCCTCGGAAAGTATCTGCTCTCAAGACCTTTTAATTCCTAGTGTTAGTACGTGCAGCTTTTTAAATGTCCACAAACCCTGAATTTGCCTTGAGGCTTCGTACCTTGTTTTCTTTTGGAATATTTTGATGGATACAGCATCTCATTTTTGGTTTGCCTGCTAGTGTAGAATGAAGCTGTCAAATGACAGCTTTTTAAAAAGAAGCTTATAAATAAAAAGCCTAATTATTTCAGGTGAGTTTACTAAACACTTCTCCAAAATACAAAAGAAAAAAAGAAAGAAAAAGAAAGGCTTGATAAAATTAGCTTTGAATTAGGTCTAAAGATTAAAGGTAGCTAATCTGGTAGTGAAAAATTAAAAGCAATCTAATGTGCAGACTCTGTATGTAGCATGGATATTACTTTAAGCCAATTTATGCTAAAAATCAAGAGCATATGGCACAGCTGAATGATTTCAAAACTTTAGTTTGGCCAGAAATAAAGCTACAGGAAAATTGAGGCCTCCAAAACTGATGCAGAGGAAAATTTGGTTGATAAAAAGATTATGTTTTAAAAGATGCAAAGTATTTTACAACAGTGTAATGGGGAAAAAAATGGCTTCGGGCAATTAAAAACAAGAAAGTCCGCACCTTTGAAAAGCTCAAGATTGCAAAAGGGAAATAATTTTTTTTGAGATGACAGCATCAGGGCATTGTGCTGCAGAACACAAGAAATTAGTTCTCCAGGATTCAGTTGATAGTGCTCATTTACCCAGGCACTCAAAGACTTTTACAGTCATGAAAAAGTCTCAAGACCTAGTCACTGCTTAAGCTGGCACTGTCCATATGGCGCTGGCTTTACAGACACAGAATCCATGAGTTATGGAATCAAAAAGCTTCTGTCCCGAATTCAGAAGGCCTGGGAGGCCAGGCATATATCCCTGAGAGGCACACGTGAAGCTGGGAAGGAGAAACCATGCATGTGACACATGGCAGGGAAGATGCAGAGTGAGCAAAGCCAGGCCAGAGAGGAACCCTGAGATCGCCAACAAGCAGCAGTGCTACAGGGATCGGGCCACTCAAGCCCTCTGGCACAAGTGGCCTTGGCTACTGGACATGGCACTATGCGGTTAATGTTTGCCCTGCTGGATTCTGATGCTGCCTTGGTCTCACTGAGGCCACTCCTCCCATTTGGAATGAGAATGTTCGTCCTGTGCCATTGTATGATGGAAGTGTTTGCCTTTCATTTTACAGGGGCATGCAGCCAAGAATTTGCCTTGTCTCAGACTTTGTACTATTCAGCAGTGCTGAAACTGTTTGCGTTTTGGCAACTCTTAGAGACAAGTTAAACACATTTTGTATAAAGAGATAAGCCTGAGTCTTTTGGAGGCCAAGAACACAATGTTATGGTTTACACATAGATGTCCCCCAAAGCCTCCTGTGCCTATCGTTGGGGCTTTTATTAGGTGAACGGATCATACAGCTCTGATACTCCTCAGTGGGTTAGTCCACTGTTGAGTTGATAGCTAAATGTGATTTTGGAACGTGGAGGTGAGTCAGAGGAATAGGTCTCAGGGGCATGGCGGAAGCGCACATCTCCCTCGCTGCATGGGCTCTGTTTCCTGGACACCAAGTCATGAGCAGCTACTTCTCTACCATGCTGTCTTCTTGGAGCCACTGGACTACGGACTAAAACTTCAAACTGACTATTTTTTCTGTTTAGTCTTGGAGGTGGCAATTCTTTTCTTTTTTTTAATGTTCTTCGGGCTGATCTTGAATTCCTAAGTTCAAGCGGTATCTCTACTCCAGCCTCCAGGTACATGGGATGATAGGCATGAGCTAGACCAGAGTCAACCCAGGATGACTATATTCTTTTTATTAAGGAAGCAGGGTACAGTGCCCAAGTTCAGAACATAGTTCATTGTGCAGAGTAACTTCTTATCTCAGTGGGACACAAGTGCCCACAATGCCTAGATACGGTCATCCCCATATACACACACAGACACAAGTCCATTAATTTTTTGAGCCTGAAATACCAGTACTGAGACTTCATGAGTACACATTAAACACAGCAATAAGGTCTTTGAATATAATGTTCATAACATGGACTTCCCTCTTTAGAAGCTCGGGGAAGGGAGACAATAGTACATAACTGAAGGATGACTAAATATGAGATGAGCTTAAAAATTATTTATTTGAAAATTATCATATACAAACTACTATCTATAGGCTGACACAAAGAGCCTACGATAAATTTGTATGAACATATACCATAAACATTGAGAATTTGGAAGCAAATAAAAAAAAAAAAGCTGTACCTTTTAGCACCACCTAATTCAAAGAATTGAGGTCACATCAATAAACAATTTAAAGGAACAGAGAAGCATTGAAAAAGTCCTAAAGAAATCAGGTGGATGGTAAAGGTTACAAGGGAACTCAGATTACCAAATGGAAAGAAAAACATTTTCTAGATAGGGAAACAAAAGAAGTAAGAAGTTATCGAGAGGACTGAGTCTAAACATAGGTGAGGAGAGCAACAGTCCAGAAATAGGACCTTGTCAAACATCTTCGTGTAACTGGTGACATGGACAAGCTAGAACAGAATACATCCATTACCTCTGTTACTGAGAAGCACATCCTGACTGTGGAATGCTTAACTAAGAAATAAAATAGACATCAAGACAATTAAGTACAGGAAAAGAGAAACCTCCAAGTACACGAAATGCACAGTCCTTACTTTCCTAATAGCGGAGGAGGATGACACAAGCTACTCCCCCTCACACCTGAGTGACCTGGTGGGAAGCAGGTAGCAGTGGTGCACAGTGATTAACAGCCTCCAAGAGCAGAAGGAGAATCTTTGTAAATAAAGCTCACCCAAAGGTCACTGTTCTGTCTCTGAAACCACACATTAAGACACTGACTGAGGCAGACCTGAAGGCTTCTCTCCCATGTGAGTTCTTTGGTGGTGGTTAAAAGTGGAACGCTGACTAAAGGCTTTCCCACACTCAGAACATGCATATGGTTTCTCTCCGGTATGAACTCGCTGGTGCACAATAAGCTGTGAACTGTCGCTGAAGGCTTTCCCACAGTCCTTGCATTTATACGGTTTTTCCCCAGTGTGTGTTCTCTGATGTACCATAAGGCTAGAGCTGTAACTGAAGACCTTCCCACACTCACTACATTCATAGGGTTTCTCGCCCGTGTGAATTCGCTGGTGTATAATGAGATGAGAGTTTTGATTAAAGGATTTTCCACAGTCATTGCATTTATAGGGCTTTTCACCAGTGTGAAGTCTCTGGTGCCGAACAAGGCATTTACTTAGACTAAATGTCTTGCCACACTCACTACATTCAAAAGGTTTTTCTCCTGTATGAATTCGCTCATGGTCAATGAGTTGGGAGCTCTGACTGAATGCTTTTCCGCATTCACTACATTTGTATGGTTTCTCCCCAGTGTGGAGGCTCTGGTGTCGAATGAGACACTTGCTCCGACTGAAGGCCTTATCACATTCTCTACATTTATAAGGCTTCTCCCCAGTGTGGATTCTCTGATGGTCAGTAAGGTTTCTATTAGAACAGAAGGCTTTCCCACACTCACTACACATATAAGGTTTCTTCCCAGTGTGAAGGACCCGATGTTGCACAAGACTTTTACTCCGAATGAACATCTCTCCACAGTCACTGCATTCATAGGGCTTCTCCCCACTATGGATTCTCTGGTGATCAATGAGCTGGGAGCTCTGTGTGAAAGCTTTTGCACATTCATTACATCTATAGGCTCTCTCGCCACTATGGAGCCGCTGGTGCTGGGTGAGCTGGGAGCTGTGCCAGTAGGTCTTCCCACACTCACTGCGTTCATAGGGCTTTCCCCCTCTGTGGCTTCTGAGATGAGCAACGAGCTGTGCAGTCTGCCTAAAGGGCTTGCCACATTCATTGCACTCATATGGCTTCTCTCCAGTGTGGATTCTCTGGTGGCTGAGGAGGTGTGAATTCCGACTGAACACTTTTCCACATTCAGCATGTTGACAGAATTTCTGTCCCTTTGCATTGCTCTGATATTGTGCAGGACTAGTAGACAGATTTGGGTGTACGCCCACTTCCATGTAGTCTTCACATCTATCTTTTGTGGAAATTTCCTCTTCATCTATAACTTCCAAGGAATCATTTGCCAATCCACTCCCTTCTTCTGAGTGCTGCCCTTGCAGCTGCTCTGAAATATCTCCAGAGATATCTCCAGTCTCTGGTCCAGGAGCACCCCCAAAGAGTCCCCCTGATGACCTCTCAGATAACTCTGATTGTTTAGAAATAGTCTTTGCAATGAACTCTGAATTCTCCATCCTGTTCTCACCTGCCATCAAAACAAACAGAAAGCAACTTTTACTCTTTTTTCTCTTGTTGTGGAAACAGAATAATCAAGAGCCCAATGTATCTGTAAAAAAAAGTCGCATTACAGTTAAGGAATAAGATGACACATTGAGAACAGAGTAAATACCTCAATTTTTTCTCTTCAGGGATATAAAAAGGAAGATGATAGAAGAGAGAGAAGGCAAGCAGAAGAGCAAGGACAAATGGACGGTGAGCAGCCGGCCTGTTAGCAGTGTTCAGAAAACAGGAGCCAGATTACAATACATGGTATACAAGATTCCAAAAGTCACCACACTTGTGTCACCTTGGTAACAAGATGAACTTTATGTTCCTTTCCAATTTGTGAAATTTCAAAAAAATTCAAAAATATTTCAAAGGTTCAAGACTTCAAAATTTTGCAAATATTCTGGGAGACAAAAAGCCAGCAAACACCTCAAATCAAATACAAGAAAGAGGGCAAAGATGGAAGTGAACTGATAAAATATTTCTATATGGTATGATTTGGAAAGTATACCAAAAAAAGAGATCTTGTATGACAGACCAGTGGTGACAGGTGGGTACGAGTTCACATATGCTGAGACAAAGTGCTGAAAGGCACAGCAGAATTCCAACAGTGGGGATACCGTAGAGCTCCAGACTTTTAGATTGGGAGGAACCACTTGTGTACTCCTATTAAAGAGGAATCAATAATTTAAAAGTTAAAATATGCCTTTTGGCTCTTGATTCTAAATAGAATAAGAAAACTAATGAGCTGAATATCTGGAATTCTGCATACAAAATCTTGGAGAAGGGCCAGCTCTCCTAGCTCTCACTAACCACCAAAAACATTGGTTCAAGAATTTCTTCACCAGGGCCGGGCTGGCCCACTATTTAGCATAGTTAGAAGATGTCTAGGTCAATGTTGGTATTACGCTTGTCAATCACAGGAACTATCGTGCAGCAGACTTGCCAGAGGGACATTTCAGAGTAAAGAAATGGGTAGCAGTGGGAGGAGATGCAAAGAGACACACAGGGGCTGCTGCAGTGCTCCCGCAGCAGTAACACTTACGGTCACGAGCTTGACTGCTGAGGTCAGGGCTTCTTCTCCACAAGGCCATCTTGCCCAAGTCTGCTCAAAATGAGTGGTTTGCACTAGTCTCAAAACAGAGAGTTCCCTACTTTCCACACCCTGACTCCC